GAGGTTAGCACAAATAAAGGGTAAAAATGGGGGTACGTGTCACAGCCATCGTCAGCAATGCGTCAGGCACGATGAATATGCAGCCTGTGTTTTGTAAAGTGACTCACCAAGATCTGAATGCAGGTTGTCAAATTCGTCGCCTGACGTGTTGGAACCCATAACACCTCTCTCGATGAACGCCTCTCTAGCTCCAAGACTTTCCCTCGGCGATCGTGTATCCGACTTCTCACGACATGTCATGCTTATGCCAGGGCAGGCGCCGACAAGTGGGAGCCAGGAGGTGTAGAGGGTGTTCAGCGAGGAGATACACCCTGACAGGTCACTCTATGAGCCTGACGCAGGTGGTGATCCCCCGTTTGGCCCTTAACTGGCACCCAGCCCTCCTTTTGTGATCTCTAAAGCTGTGCTCTACGTAGCAGCTACATCAAGGGAATAAATCTGTCACAGGCGTCAGCCTTCTGCGTCCTCGTTACCGACTGGCCGGCTAGGATTGCCCGAAGATTAATTTCTGATGAATATCTGACATCCTCTTGGCCACCGTGGCGAAGGCGGACAAATTACACACCGCAGTAGAAGCGATCGCTTCTACTTCTTATCAACTAGTTCCTGGAACTCGCATCTTCGCTTGTGTTGGCAAATTACACACCCTTAATGACTTCACTGCCCATGTAGAGACGGACAACGCTACCTAGGAGGAGGCGCTAAATTACCGCTGGGCCAGCAGCTGAAAAAGTAGTCCTATTTTCCACCTCCTGGTCAGGGAGAAGACGTGAATACACCTTCGTTGATGTCAGTAGCAACTGCGTGTCTGGGCTTTTAGCTAATACCTGTGTTGTTAGTACGGTAAATCATTGCAAAGTTCTGTACTACCGGCTGCCTGTTGGCGGTTTATGAATATTAAGAGGTGATTCCGCAGTAGCTGATGGATTTCAGCTCAAATATCCATATCAAAATTTGAAGCGTGCCTGAAAAGGCCCGTTTGGAAAGATTTATTCCAAGTTACTTTATTTCCTCGGAAATTAAACAAGGCCAGAGTGTGTCTCGATACAACGCTAAAGTAAACCCATTCGCCTAACCCCTCATCTTCTCCACCACCACGACCACCACCACCACCAATCGTTTCACAAGCGATGTCGACGCAATTTCAGTTTGTGTCCATTGCGGACACACTTGACTATCACGTGCCAGTCTCGTGGGCCACTTGGAAATTCATACGAATGCATTTGAGGAACCAGTGTCAGTGTCATATTGAGGCAGATTCAACTGCGACGCAGTGGCCACGCTCTGAGGATGGATAAGGAGCGATCGCCCAAGTGGGTTTTCTCTGGCGATGCAGCTGCCCGCTCTTACGGTCCTCAGCGCCGCCGCTTACCCATGCCGCCTCCGGTCCTCCCACGAGCGTGACTCAACCTCCGGCTTGCGACGCCGTGACGCCGATCGATATTTTTCTCTTCACCTACTGGCCTCAGCCAGACGAAGTTTGGACGCATGCGCTTTGGCTAACACTTGCCTGGTGAGAACGCTAGCTGCAGCTGCTTGCACTGATGCATGTTTATTCTCGACTTCAGAAAAACGAATGTCCACCTGCCTTCTGATTTGGGAACATGCAAGTTGTCGATCACCGAAATTTCACAACGTCACCACGGCTGTTGGTGACAAGGTGGGCAAAGGCGTCATTGAAAGAATACCCTGAAACCTTTACTTGAGTAGCTGCCTATTAGTCTTGGGACCGAGGAAGACCCCGTGCTGAATAGGCAGGTAGGGCGCGCGGTAACAATCGGGAGAGGGCACCCAAAAAAATACCGCTGGCCAAAGAAACGATCTTATCGCAACTGTCCTAAGCTATGCAGCCATCGACTGAGCCGCATACTGGCGACTGCGGTAGCTTCTTACCTCTGGAAGTAATGATAAAAATTGATACTCCAAGTGCTCGGTCAACGGCGATCGTATTGCAATTGTCCGTAGGTAAGCTACTATAGAATAATCCGCATAGGGACTACTGCGGTCGCTTGTCAGCGGCGGAAGCTTATATTATGGTTGTTTAACGTAGGATGGGTCTACGGCGATCGTTTCTCAACTCCATTAAGGTATGCAAGGGTAGATTTAGCCGCAAACCCACTGCTGCTGTCACCCTTCAGCCTAGGTCAAGGCTGATTAACCATGACTCGGTCTGCAGCTGTGGCATCGCAACTGTTGGAAACTATGGTAATCTAAGTGAGACAACATGTGCACTATAGATTAGACAGAACTGAGCTCGGATGAAGCAACAAATATGTAGGGCCATAATCTACTCAAATAGATAAAGCAGGTAATATTTCTAGGCAAGAGATATTTGGATGCCCTCTCCCGATTGTTACCGGGCGCGTTGCCAGGAGGACTAGAGCTGCAATGTACGGAACAAGTCGTTTAGGAGAGGCTAAAAGCGAAATGAGGGAGGCGCGTTCAGGCCACACATCGGACTGGTCGGGCATCTTCGGAATAACAGTTCGCTCAATTAAGAACTCCCGGCACAG